ACATGGGAACACTGCTTCTGCTGGAATCATCTAGCTCAGGTGAGCTGATCATGTTCCCCATCACTCTAGTGCCCGCGTTCATACACCTAATGCCGAGCAAAACAGTGGTACCCAGCAGCACCGGGAACTCTGAATACAGGAATGGTGATGCCCACTGACTCAGGCTGGGAGTGGTACAGTGCCGCTTCAGGTTGGAGTTCCAGAGGGCATATTCTTTAGGCAGGAAGGCCTCCAACTTTAGTTTCTCCATCTCTCCTCTGTCTCCACAGGTCTTCCAGCTCGCAGCTCACCTGGTATACTGGGGAAAGGCTGTTATCATCTATCCACTGTGTGAGAACAACGTCTATGTCCTGTCTCCCAATGCCAGTGTGTGTCTGTGAGTACCATTGGCTGTCAAAAGCTGGGGTCTGGAGCTACAAAGTGCTCAGCAGGACCCTTCAGTGGTGCCTCCAGTAGCCAGGTTCCTGAGGCTTTGAAGCCCTGAGGCCAGCTCTCACTGTATCCTGATGCTGCCAATGGCATGGTCAGGTGCAGAGCCCAGTCTGTTTTGGTGCTGCCCATGGCCTTAACCATCCCTTCCTAACTGAGATCAGATGAGTTCTGTGGCTCTTGCTACATCTTGGGAGACAGAGTCTGTCCATTGGAAGGCCTTCTGTTATCATTATGCTCACCCCGATGGTTGCTGTGAGCATGGAAACTGCACTGTGATCACTGTTGTCTGCCCCAGGTACTCCCCACTGGCCGAGCAGTTTTCCCGCCAGTTCCCGTCCCATGACCTGCCTTCCGTCCTGGCCAAGTTTTCCTTGCCTGTTTCTTTATCAGAATTCAGGAGCCCTCTGGCCCCCCCTGCACAGGAGGTGAGTCACTAGAGCCCTTATGTGGCTTACAAAGTAGACTGGGTATAACTGCTTTTCTGATGGTCCCTGACTCAAAGGCCCTTAGCATTGCTGACCTTTTTGCCTTGGTTTGAGGGGGCTTGCTGGAGAGTACTACAGGCTTCCTGTGGTCCATGGAGCCCACCATAGCACCCTCTAGTTTAGGACTGGGTTAAGTTTGCTGGAAGGGCATTAGTTTTTCCTGAGCTGACAGGATCTCCTTGTGTTGCATTCTGGGCCAGGGGCTTCTCACAGGGGCTGCAGACAGCTTTGTTTTAGCTTAGTTCCTGCATCCCTTCCTTTGGGGGCTTAGGAACCATGGGATCTTTGTGTGGAAGCCTTCGGTCTCTGGGCCTGGAGTCCGTTTCCTAAGAAGACTTATACATTATCAGGGCTAGGCCTGTGTCTTGCTTGCCTGCTTTAGGGCAGAGGCTGGCAGTTGGAGGCTGGGTGTGGGGGTGCTTCTGAGGGTGTAGGGGATGAATTTGCAGTGGCTGCACAGGTCGGTCACTTTTCACAGCCCCACGCTCAGGAGACGGTGAGATGGTGACTTGGACCCCAAGGGGCTTTGCCCCTCCCCTCTATTAAGTACTTTGAGCTCTAGGAGGGGATCTAGGGGAAGAGGACAGGTGTCTGAGACAAGCTGGGTGAGCTCCATGCTTTGTCTTCAAAAGCCAAATATTTATTAATAGGTGCTAAATACACTGGGCAAAATCAGCCCCTAAAGTTAAATACTTCCCCTTCTCAAATCATGAATGGGAATAAGACCCTGGGTTTTCAGCTCATTTACATGCTGAGTGTGCAGAGCTCTAAAGCTGTCTTTCACGGAATCCATGGTTTCCAGGAACTGCGCCAGGAGGGTGAAAGACACATTTTCCATCTGTATCCTCCCTCTTCTCCCCGAGGCGGCTCTTGGGGGAGGGTCTGGCAGTGCTCTTATCCCAGCAGAAACTTCCCAGTTGTCTGGATAACGGCTGATCTTCCAGGCCAGGCCCGAGCAGCTGCTTCAGGCTTGTCAGGGGCTGCAATAGAGCTGTTGGTTTGCCCTATCCTAGAGACAACAGTCTAGTGCTTATGGAGCTTTTATTTTTTACATTTTGTGTTATAAAATATCTTGAATTCTTTAGAATTTTAATTGGCTTTGACCATGGTTGGGTGTATAGATCTTCCTCCCCAATAACGCATCCCCCTTCATTGAGTTACCTGGGTAGCAGCTCTTCTGGGCTTCGCAAAGATGAGAGCACTAGTACTGTCCGCGTGCACCTTGCTGCTTTGTGTCTGGGCCTGAGAGGTGCTTTTCCATCAGTGTTAGGTACTACCTGGCAATAGGTTACACGGCTGTGGGCCAGTGCTCACACGGTCTAAACGTGCCTGACCAAGGACGAGAGCGCCATTGGCTGTACACAGCAACAGTAGGTCCCTTTCCTGTTTCCTTTTGGAATCACCTGTGTTCTCGGAGCAAACTTTCAGGTAGAGCCAAGGACCTAGGGCAATTGTTTCTCTGAACATTGTGTGGGCTGGCCCAGCAGTGGACTGTCTGATGGCAGCAGGTCGTAGTGGGCTGAGGTGAAGGAAGCAAGAACATACCTGGCTCTAGGGAAAGTCGGCTCAGAAAAGTGAGAGAGCCCAAGTGTGTGATGGGAGATAATGCAGATGTGCTCTGGGGGTGCTTCTGGCCCAGTTACTTCCCCGGGGTGAGCTGACCTTGTAGACTACCCCGCAGTTAAGGTTCTTCCAAACAGGAGGCCTTACTGTTTAGGTACTGGGGTTGATAGGACCATCGCCCTCTCATCTCCCAGGAGCAGGAACCTGTTCCTTTAGGTTTGAGTGAGGAAGCCAGCCCACCCACTGTTCCTCTGTTCACCCGCAGACCCAGCTCATCCAGATGGTGGTGTGGATGCTGCAGCGCCGGCTCCTCATCCAGCTGCACACTTATGTTTGCCTAATGGCCTCACCCAGTGAAGAGGAGCCCCGACTGCGAGAGGATGATGTCCCCTTCACAGCCCGAGTTGGTGGCCGCAGCCTCAGCACGCCCAATGCCTTGAGCTTTGGCTCCCCAAGTAGGATCCCCTTCCAGGACACCTGTCTGGTAACGGGGCAGGGGAGGGGAGGAGACTTTGGTGGTGCCCTCCAGGAAGCCTGAGCACTGTTGGAGTAAGAGGTGTTTTTACACAGCTGTACACTCACCCGCTGCTGTTCCTGTGGAGACCTCTTCCTCCTGCTCCCCTGTACTGCCATTGGTCTAAATGGGAGGCTCTGCCCCAAGCAATTGGCTGTAATCAGGAGCAGCCCTTGTCCACTGCAGCACAGCTGGACTTTCCCACTGCAGCCTGGGCACATTTTGTCACCACAGGGACCACAGCTGTCTGGTGTTGGGGTCCATGTGAACTCTGTCTAGTGCGTCATCCTCCATGTTAGCTGAGGTAGGACAAGGCACTCATGCCTGCCTTGGGGTATAGGGGATATGCTTTCCTCTGGCCCTTGAAGCTACTCCTACAGGGACAGCTCCTTGTGATCTAGGTTAGCCACACAACAGGCATACTACATGCTTAAGAGGTGGGGTGGCAGTGAGTTCTTGCATGAAGGCAGATGGTACAGTTGGGTACCAGGAGGAGAGTGGCAGTGACCTCAGGCTCTGGATGCTGGCAGTGCCTTTGATGTTCTCCCCATCTTGGTACACTGAAATCCACCTGGCCTATTCCAATCATAGCCAGCAGTGATGACATGACCCTTACCAGCCCCAGTATGGATAACTCCAGTGCAGAGCTGCTCCCCAGTGGAGACTCACCACTGAACAAGAGGATGACAGAGAACCTGCTGGCCAGCCTCTCAGAGCATGAGCGAGCTGCCATCCTCAGTGTGCCTGCAGCCCAGAACCCTGAGGACCTCCGCATGTTTGCCAGGTAGGGAGCAGACAACTGGGTGCACTGGTATCCTTGCAGAGCTCACAGTGAAGTGTGGGTCTCCACTTGGGATTGTTGTTTGCAGAGCTGGAATTGTCCAGGTGTGCAGGGATGCAGGCCCTGGCCAAGCACCTGGGTCTAGTGGCAGCTTACTCAGTACTTCCAGATGTCCTGTCACTGCTTGAGAGGCAGTGCTCTCAAGTTCTGACTGACTTGGCTTGGCAGGAATATATTCTGATCCTTGGCCCTGGGGGCAACTTAAGAGCCTATATCATAGCAGCTTGATGTCGGTCATGTCCACCCTGACTCAGGTGTTGTTAGGGCATGGTGTTATGGGAGAGGTCGGGTTGTCAGCATTCACTGTTTGAAGAATCACTGCAGATTGCTGGAGGACCGTTTGTAACTCTTCCATGTGCTGCTCCAGGCTTTATCTGTACCCTGACCTTTGTGCTGGACTCAACTGCTCAACTGGACTCAAGCTCCCAGGAGCAGACTGAACCCAGTGCCATGGGAGAAGGGTGCAAGTTTAGGTGACTCTGAGTTTGCACAGCCATGCTGCTTTGTGGACTCACTTCAGGCCTACCACTGCCTGTCACTGGGGAGACTGAGGGACATCAGGTCCAGGATGCTCCCCTCCTCCCCCACCCAGTTCTTCACAAGCTTGTAGGCAGTTTACAGATCCACCCACTTCTGGCTGTCCTTAGTAGCACTGGCCTTGGGCTAGGCTTATGCCATCCTATCCCCTCCAGGCTCCTCCACTACTTCCGTGGCCGCCACCATCTGGAGGAGATCATGTACAACGAGAACACACGGCGCTCCCAGCTGCTCATGCTCTTTGACAAATTCCGCAGTGTGCTGGTGGTGACCACCCATGAGGACCCCGTCATTGCTGTGTTCCAGGCCCTGCTCACATGAGCCCAGGCAGCATGCCCAGTGTGTGGACGGAAACTAGCCTCCGCTCTGCCCTCTGGGCCTTCCTGACTGGCCTAAGGAAGATAGGCAAAGCAACCCCAGCCTGGCAGAACTGGTTCTTGTTCCAGCTGCCAGTCTCCTCAGAAGCAGCTATCTGGCAACCATTGCTGGGCTTTTTTTTTTTTTTTTTTAGACAAAGTCTTACATATTCCAGATGTTAAACTTGCTATATAGCCAAGGACGACCTTGAACTACTGATCTTCCTGCCTCTATCCCCCTAGTACTATGATTACAGACATGTGCCACAATGTTACTTTAAAAATATATGTTTATTTATTTTCATTTATGGTTTTATGTGTATGTGTACCCTCAGAGGTCAGAAGAAAGCATGCCCAGGAGCAGGAGTTACAGAGGTTGCGAGGCCCTGGGTGTGCTGCTGGGAACAGACCTCTAGAACAGCAGAAAGACTTTAACCATTGCTGCCTCTCCAGCCCCACCTGTCTTATTCTTCAGTCTGGTCTTTATAGCATCTTAATATTGCTGAACTGGAGAATGTCTTCTAGGATGTATCTTTAAAGTCCAAGCGCTTTATAAACACATAGGTTGTGTCTTTCTGATCCCTTTCCCAACCTGCCCCTTATGGAGCTACGCTGGAGAGTGTCCAAAATACTTGTTTAACTCAGTCCTGCTCCTAGATGTATATGCCTGCACATTGATGGCTCTCCCTCTACGATTCCAAACATAGTGGCTATCTAGGTTTTCTGACCTGGATAAAGAACTACATGCACACAAATTCTGGCCGAAACTGGACAGTTCCCTACAAAAAGAATATTTATTCTATGTTTAAACAATTAAGCCCATCAGGGCAGGCTGTTTGTTGAGCTGATAACATCTGTTCAGCCACTCTGTCTACCACACTGACCCATGGGCTGCCCTGGACATAGAAGCGCAGGGGTTTCTGGGTCCATTCCCCTGCATAACCGATGCCTATGCGGGCTGCTGCCACCACAGTGGTGCTGCTGGGCTCAAGAGGGCCATGCTCCAGCCACACGGCCTCATCTTGGGCCAGGTCTCGCTGGTCAAAGGTCTTATCAATGGCTAGGGCCTGGCACAGCTTGGAGGGACCACTACAGAGCTCACGGTCCTTGAGGGAACGGCCGACAGTGCTTTTCCGGAGGGTGTTACGAAGCTGCCGCATGGTCTCCAGGCCCTCCAGGGGCTCTAGTGCTCTTAGCAGGACACAAGCCCCAGCCCCTGTGGGACAGACAGAGAGCTTGGAAGTAAACCTCAGACCCCTTGCCCCTGCACATACCCAGTGTTGGAGGGGTGCTGCTGTCTTCCTGCACGTGTAAACTGGTGTCCACTGCTTCCGGAACCCCTGACTCACCCTTCCCTATAACACTGACTAGGCTGCTGAGCCTTCCCCGAGTACCTGGGGAAGCCTCTACCGCAGACCACTGACGGTGAGGCTCCCACAACTGCTCTCCAGAGCCAGAAGTCAGATCAGCTACTTAGTGTGGGCAAGCCTCTGGCATCAGCATCCTCTTTCTGTAGCTTTCCATAGTCGTTTTTTTTTTTTTTTAATTAATTTTACTTTTGTGTTTCTGTGTGTATTCATAAATGTGTCTATGTGCCCTGAGAGGCCAGAGGAGAAAGTTGGATCCCCTGGAGGTGGAATTATGCAACTGTAAACTGCCTGATGTGGGATTTGAACTTGGGCCCTCTGGAAGAGCTGTGAAAGTCCTTCACCCTGGGCGACCTCTGTAGCCCACTTGGTAGTGGCTATGAGGGGTGGCATCGGAAGCCCCAGAGAGCCAGCACCTCTGGGGTGGAATGCATGTCACTCTACTAGAAGATAGCAAGTCTCAGACCCAATCCAAATACGTTATATGTCAAGAAAGCCTAGAAGGTCCAGCTCTTGGAACCCTTCTTCCCTTGCTGTACCTAGTTCATTACCAGGGACTTCATGTTACTTTAGGGAGAAGCAGGATACAGGGGCTCTGTGAGTTTAGGACATTCGATCCCTACGCTCAGTCCCCCAGAGCCTCCCATCACCCCACCTTATCCTGGTTCCCTCTCATCTTCATGCAAACACCCTTGACCTCCATGTCCTCCAAGTCTGCTACACACCTGCTTGAACTTGGCATTCTGACTGTGCTCTGGTTGGCCCTTCAACCCTCATCCTCTTCCCATGCCCTCAGCTTTCACCTGGCCATATCATAGTCACACCACACACATATCCGTGTACTCAGCCTCTACTCACATGGATGACCCGAACCAGGATCGTGTGCACCCTTGTGGGGCTTTGCCCTCAACCTGGGTGTTCCTGGGGCATTTCATTTGGGTGTGCATCCTTGCGTCTGCCTTGTCTACTATGTCCTAGGAACCTGTTTTTCCTCCCTCAGAGACTACAGCACTAACCATTTCTGGTTGTTTCCTTAGTTCAGCCACACAGCAAGGTTGGTTCTGTCCAAGAAGACTTCTGTCACTTCTCTAATTAAAAAAAAAAAAAAAAAAAAAAAAGTGTATTGGTGTTCTGTCTGTGTGTATATCTGTACCACTTGTGTGCCTGGATCTCCTAGAACTGGAGTTATGGAGTTATGTTTATGGTTGTGAACTGCCCTGTGGGGGCTGAAAGATAACCCAGGTTCTTTGCAAGAGCAGCCAGTGCTCTTAACCACTGAACTACCTCTTCACTCCCCTCTTATGACATCTTCTGATGTCTAGTCCTCCAGTGTCACTCAGAATCAGCTCTGTGGTAGGCACAGAGCCAGTCCTGTGGTCCACTCATCTCTGGCTCTCAAGTCCCCTACACTGGGCTCTCAGCCGTCTGCTATGGGTAACCACAACTTCCTGCACCACCAGTACTTGTCCAGCAAACCAATAACATTGGTCACTTTGGGGCGAGCAGGGAGGGCTCAGCTCACAGATGCTGAGAAATGCCAGTCATGTTCTTGGTTAGCAAGATGGTACTGGTTCTTTAGGCTCGGACTGCTGAGAACACAAGGCTACATGCTTGTCAGGACAGAGCTGGACCCCAGAAGAGTTGGTTTCTCACATGACCAGCATCCCTCCACTGAAGCTATCTGGTGCCAGAAGGTCCTATGTGGTTATCATAGGATTTCTAGCAACATCCCTGCTTTTACCTGCTAGATGCTAGTCAGATCCAAGTGTGTCACCAAACATTTCCTAATGTCCCCTATGGGACATGCTCCTGCCTGAGAATAACTGAGCTACATCTCATAATAAGACTTTTGGCAAGGTTCCTATACAAGCCCAGCTTATTTAAAACCAGTCTCTTGCTTTCCACTTCCGTACCCTCTGCCGCTCTGAGCCAAACCTAACCCAGAATCAAAAACACGACTGTGAACTCTGGCCACAGGATCTAACTGCCCTGCATTCATGCTGGTCCCATAGCCACAATTCTGTGCAGCCTCAATTCTGCTTCAGGCAGCCTTGCCCTGTCAAGAACAGCTCCTGAAGTCCCAGCTTGATCCCTGGCAATGGCACTTCCCTACTCAAATGCCTGTCTACTCCAGTCTTTCAGGGGGCTTGGCCAGCAGCTAGCCCATCTCTTCCCCTAAGCCCAGCACTACTAACCTTGGCTGGAGACATTCAAGCAGAAGTACATGCCATAGATGATGTACACATACAGGGTCCCAGGTTTCATGAACATGCCACGATTACGAGCGGTCTGCCGGCCACCCCTCGAGTGAGCAGCTTCATCTTCTGGCCCCAAGTATGCTTCTGTCTCCACAATGCGCCCACGAAGTTCTGTTCCATCAGCGAGTCTCCGGACAAGGACCTGCGTGCAGTGAGTCTGCTCAGACTGATGGGGGTCAACCCACCTGGACAGTCCCCACCCAGATCTCTCTGAAGTTCAGGGTGTAGCTGACACTCAGGCCTAGCCAGACCCAACTACCTGGCTCCTCCATTCTGCCTCTTCTTTTGCTTCTGCTCAGAGCCTGAATACTGCTGTTAAGGTCACCAGCCCTTCTTGACCAACTATAGTTCTTGTTTACTAAGGGTTCGGAGCACACCTCAAGATTTGTCACTGTGCAGGCTGGCCTCCAAGTCCCCTCAGTGGTGTTCTCTGCTTTCCTACATCCTCTCTCCGAATTCCCTTGAGAGCCATAAATGTTTAGTGGTCCTAAGGCTGTCCCTACACAGCTTCCTATGATATTCCTGATTCTGTGGTGTGCCTGTTAAGCCAAGGCAGCCACAATGGATCCACATACTTGAATTGTGCCCATGAGTGCTAAGTCCTTACTGAGAAACATGGCCCCCAGGTCCAGCTCATGCAATGCCTAGCCTGAACCATGATGCTAAGAATGGCCAACAGTCTTGATCCAGCCAAGTCGATAGCACCTCACAGGTTTGAAGGATTATTTGGTGAGAAGGCACTTTCTTCTCAGCCCAGGTAGAGCCATTGTTCCTCAGAGTCATTATAACAGGCAGGGTAGAGGGGAAGAGGTGGCCGATGGCTTGTCATGGAAGCCTGGAAATTATTTCAAGAACCCAGAACACTGAAGATGGGCATGGAGATTTTAGGAGGAGAAAAAGGTCAGGGAGTTTCCTTCACTGACTATACTCGAATGCTCCCATGTCTCCAAGGGGACACTGAGAACCCCTAGGAGCTCTCGAGGGAGTTCCTAGGACTTTTCTGGTGGAGGGTCCAGGAAGGCAGCGAGATCCTCAGTCCTGAGTAGGCTGCTGTCCTGGCAACTTACTGCCGTTGAGCCTTTTACTGAGCTTATGACCCACACCTGGTTTTCCTTGACTAATGGAATACACAGGCTAAAACACCCCAGCTCTCTTGTCTACTAATGTGGGCTCAAGCTGGGATGACAGGGACCCAGCTGATTATGCCCACGATGCTGAATAGAGGCGGTGTAATGATGGTGGTGTTGGACCATCCTTGGGCCCTTGGCCTGAGATGAATCTGTACCATGTTGTTTTGTCAGATGTTGACTACTGTGTTGACTACTGTGGTGCTTTTAGAAGGAGCACAGATCCTTGCAGCTTAAAACATCCCGGGAACAGAATCTCATAGGTCAGGGTCTGTTCCTGGAACTCTTAGCACCAGTTCTTCTAGCTGAGAAACTGGCTATCCTCGGCCATGTTACCGTAAAAGGAAGCTTGTTAAAGGAAAGAAGTGGGCCAGGGAACCTCCGGAGCCAGAGGGTCAGGCTTAAGCTCTAGCACCAGGAACAGCGAGTTCTCTGGATGAACTGGCTTGATGCTCCATAATGTGTTCTTTATAGACAGGCTGTACTATAGGCAACACCACGCTGGGCCTGGGGCGGACTCCACTTCCCACTCCAAACATCCCTGCCCCAGCCCAGATTCTGGACCTGCAGTGAGGAGGCCAGCCTCTTTCAAGTGATTCAGACACTGGCAGCCTAATGGTATTCCTAGCCCCAGCGATCAGGGAATAGGGGTCGTCTCTCACAGATGCTGGGGTCAATAGCCATCCATAGTCCTTTCAAACAACCTGTCCTAAGGGGATTTCAGGTAGAACAGTCCCCATCTCTCTGATGGGTAAGTCTAACAACATACACCTTGTTATTGCCAAAGCAGGACAGTGGCCAGTGGTCCTGCCGCCTCCACCGAGGGACGCCACTCTGAATATTCTTATTCTCCGAAGTGATTCTAGACAATAGCCAAACGGGGGGGCTCATGTGGACGAAGTGTCTACTTTTGTAAGCACAGAGATATGAACTGGTAGTGACAGGACTAGGGCTCCTGGAACCTGCACCTGCATTTACATTACCTGTCCCAGAAATGCACGGGCCAGGGTGACTGCTGGCTGGTCAAAAAACTCTGGTCCTAGCCGGGCAGGGTGGTCCTCTGGGCTGGAGAAGTAGGCGCTCCGTTGGAGGCCCACACTCAAAGGTGGGCTCTCTTTAGGGGTCTGCTGCTGCTCTGATTCTGCTAGTCGCTGCTTCTTCTGTCTGATCTTTCGGGAAAGCTGTAATGGGAAAAAGCAAAAGCAAGTGTCTGCTTGCCTGCCTCTGTTTCTTTATCTGCAAAGTGGGGTGCCCATTGTGTGAGTCATTCCAAGGCATAAACAGAACCCTACAGCTAATACAGCCTCAGGGGACCTTGAGACACAGTGTAGGTAATGATAGGCTGTTAGTGGTGGCAGGGTGGGTGGGCATTCTGTGCCCACACCTGCTGCACAAAGGAGAAACGGGTCAGGGGCATTAGGAGGAGAAGGTACATGCTGGAATATTCTGATTCCCACCCAGCACACCATCTCCAAGGAAGCTTTTTGGTTTTTTATTCCTAATCCTGACCAGACATTAAAATACAGCCAGAACCTGGGCAGGGTTTAGCAGAGAAACATGCGGAGTTTGTCCCGGCACTGCTCAAAAGACAGGGCTCAAGACCCCCTCAGTGTTGACATACCAAGTGGGTGCGCATGGGGATGGCCACCTGCCTGGTCCCATTCTAAGTGCTCAGGGCATAATCCTGCTGCCCCCAACTGTCCTTCAACCGCTTGGGTATTAGAATAACTAGGAACTGGGACAAGAAGTCTATAGGCCTTAGTCTACCAACAGGCGGATAAACAAAGCAGGGAAATCTGACTACATCCTTCAACTGTTGTGGTAACAACAGAAGGGGACAAAACTAGGCAGTATACCTGGGGCCAGGGCCAAGCTCTGCCTTCAGTCCAGGCTGGCCTTCAGCTATGGCCACGGCTCCGTGGTTGGTAGGTAAAGAGTTTATTTATTTATTTAAACTGGGTCCCATGTAGGCTACACTGGCCTTGAACTCCTTATCCTCCTGCTTCCATCCATTTCCCAAGTATTGGAAACACAGGCGTGCGCCACCACGCCCGGGTAAGAACCATTATTTTTATCTGTTGTGCTGACGTCCAGGTTGGACCGAGGCTGCCAGGCTGCCGGGAATGGATGCTGACGTGACCGTCTCTGCAGCCCGACCCACTGTGCCAGCTCGCCGTGGGCTCAGACTCCGCGACGCTGCGCCCCCTCTCACCGGCACTGGCATCTGGCCGGCCTCACGATATCCGGTCACTCGGGATCCTGCTCTGGCATTCCCTGGGCGGCGGGCTCGTCCAGGAAACGGAGGCCGGTCGGTGTCAGGGGCCAGGGTCACGGACACCGGTTTTGGGGCCCCTCTGCCCAGGCGCGCACTCAGCCCAGTTCCTCGGCGCGCGCGCATCTAGCCGCCGCCAGGACACGCCGAGTCACCGGAAGCGCGGGGAGGGCGGGGACTGGAACTTGCACCTGCGCAGAAGGCATGCAGATGGAGGGTGGGCCGAATCTGCAGAAGAGGCGGAGCGAGGAGCCTAGGGGAAGAGTGGGGCGGAGCGAGTGTAGGATCCTTCACTTTCACCACTCGGGCTGGAACCCAGCTTCTCCAGGTCCGGTTCTGTCCCATTGGCTCGACTGTCATCAGCCCATACTCCCTGAACCTGGACTGAATTTTCGAGGATCCCTGGCCGGAAGACCTTGCCTTGGAACAGGCTGGGCCACAGATGGTGCGATAGGTGTTGTGGAGAACAAACATGAGGCCTTGACACCTCAGAGCTTGATCCTGGAACTCTCATTCCCTAATTTTATCCCTGGATGGCGGAACTGACAGGAAGTGGAATCCTGCCCCATCTAGAGGCCCCAGCTCTGGGTCATTACAGCTGATAGGAGGAAGGAAAGGGAATTCTGCCTCGGCAGTGAATCCTCACTTAACATCCAACCCCCTGATGCCTTCAATTGCTGCAAAGAGAGCTCACCACCTAAGCTGGGCCAACTTGGAGGGCAGGACCAGGGCTGCAGGGACCCGAGAATACCCGTCTCTAATGATTACTTCTCTGGCACCTAGGCCTGCTACCCACTCTATCTGTAACCCCTCAAATGAGGTTGTGCGCCGGTGGAGAGAACTTGAGCCTCCAATGGGAAGTGACTGGCCCCAAGGAAGGGATGGGCAAGAGAAGGGAGGTCTTGGGACAGGGCAAGCTGCTCCCCTCCCCCACTTCAGCTCAGTGGCAGCCCCCACACCCAGTAGAGCCATCCTCACCCTCTTCTACCATTCTAGGAGTGATCTGGGTCAGAAGGGTTTCTTGGCAGACACAATCCTCCCTTCCTAGTTCACACTGCCTTGTCACACACCCTTGAGGGCTTGTCAGAGCTGTCTTTGATTTCTTCCACCCTGGCATGGAAGAGCAACTAAGTGTGGGAAGGAAAATGTTACAGGACAGGGGAAGAGGCCATATGTTTGTGACCCTTAGACGAACAAGGCACTTAGCCCAAGGCTAGGCTATCTGTCCAGACTCTGGTCCTCAACTGCTTCTCCCCTGGCCAGCTCAGGGACTGAACTCAGGCCCAAGCTGGGGCTCAGCCATCCCCTCTCATGGGCCTCAACTAGGACTTCCTGGGGAGGGAGGGACAGCCTCTCTGCCTGCCTGCTGCCTGCTGGAAGTCATCCAGCTGTTTGGGGCACTCTGTGGAGTTTCCGGGGGTGTGGTGGCGGCAATATGTTGTAAATTTGAACTAATGAGGTTGGCCTGGATGTGGCTCCCACCCCCTTCCTCCTTATCCCTGAAGCCAAGCCATTCCTTCCAAACAATGACTCTCCCTTCCTGTGGGAATAATGCCCCTTTCCAATCTAGGAGGAAAACCGAGATCCTAGTTGGGCTCTTGTCCCTTGATAAGGGCATTCTGAAGACTAATAGAAAGCTGCCTAATCCCCACCTTTGGGTGAATGACCAGCTCCTCCTGTTTGGTGGGCAGCCTGGCTTCTGCCCCAGGCCAAGATGGGGGTGGTGGCCAGCATCCTATTCTCCAGATGTTCTGGCCTGAGTGTGGGATTGTGCAATGTCTGCCCCCTCCTCCCCACTTCCTGGTTTGTGGTATGAAGCTCCCACTACAGGCTGGAAGTGTTGGGTTGGGCTTTCCTACTGTGTTTTTGCCAGCAGGCTGGCCAGGAATAAGAGAATGTCCAAGAGGAAGGAGCCCGGATCTCTTCTGTTCCCAGAGTATCTTTCAGCTGGTTGGTGGCAAGAATGCCACTGGAAGGGGTCAGAGACGGGGTCGGCAATGGTTTGAGCTGCTCTGATTCCCCACAGGTTGTGGGAAGGTTGGAGCTGGCGTGGGCTCCCAGTCCTTGCTAGCTTTATGGGTATAGACACTAGGCTTCAGTTTCACTGGCTCAGGGGCCCAACCACCCACACTGGGTCACCCTCCTGTCTACCACGGATAAAGCAGGAGCTGGTTTGAAGCCAGCTGGCTCCTGGCTTGGAAACTAGCACCCAAAAGCAGCTTCTCAGCAGAGCGGCTGCTGCCGCCCTGGCAGACCTCAGTGGCTCTCTGTATTTGGGTGAACCCTTGAGGGTCAGCCTTTTTTTTTGGGGGGGGCAGGGAGGGCAGCCATTAGGCATACCGAGGGGAAGTATGCCGTTGATAGGCTCTTGGCCCAGGAGCTTATGGACCATGGGGAGGGGGTTGTTTCAGGGCGCTGGGTCCATCCCTACATCTTCTTTCCGTGTGGGGCCTGGAAGCTAAGCTGAAGGAGATGGCCTGTTGAGAGTCCTCTTACTGTGCAGAGATCCTAGCCACCCAGGCGCCTACATAGGACCTGGGGGTGGTAAAGAAGTCTGTCCATCCCGACACCTGTTCCCCAGCTCTCAGAGTGGTAAAGAATTGCAGCTGACTTCCGTCCTGCATAGTCAATGAAAGTCGGAGAGAAGCCGGGGTTGGGATTCTGTGTAAAAGGTGCTTCTACCCAAAGCATAAGTCAATAGGGCAGGGGGGAGGTGCCAGGACTGTAGACACTGGACATGCCTGACGCATGTCCGCACTCCTCTGCTGGCACTGTCCTGATGCCCTCACTCAGGAGGTCGGGGGTGGAGCTGTGTCTGGAGAATCATGAACCCCTATGCTGAGACAGGCATTTGTCTGCAGGCATCATGCTCTCGGGGAAACAACGCTTGTGTGTGTGGATGGAGATGGCAGGGTCTGTGAGAGGGGCTGGGGCAGGCTCCCCTGGGGTGTGGGAACTGCAAGGCCTCTGGAGCACTGAATCCTGGGAAGCTGTCTTTCTGTCACTGGATGCAGGCAGCCTTCTCTGAGGAACTCCTGCACTGAAAACAAGTCCGGGGCTGGGGAGAGGGCTCAGTGGTTACGAGTGTATGCTGCCTTTGCAGAGGACTGGAGCTGAGTCTCAGCACCCACACTGGGCAGCTCACAACTGTCTGCAACTACAGTTCCAGGGAGACCTGACACCCTTTTGGCATTTGTGGGCATCTGTAACCACACACAGAGAGATATAAATAAACAGAATAATTCTTTTTGTTAAAAAAAAAAAAGAGTCAGGTGGAGTGGTGCACACCTGTAATGCCAGCATTTAGGGAGCCTCTGGGAGGGAGAGGCAGGTGGATCAATGTGAGGCCAGCCTGGTCTACAAAGTGGGTTCAGGACAGCCAGGGCTACGTAAGAAACCCTGTCAAAAACAAACAAACAAACAAACAAACAAACAAACAAACAAACACAACAAAAAAACCAGACACACACACACAAAAAAAAAAACCAAACCCAAACCAAAACAAAAATCAAACCAAAACCAAAACAAACAAAAAAAGCTGACTGACTCCTGAGTGTGCCCTTACTGTGGAGCCTCCAGCAGAGCTTCTGCAGCTGGGAACAGATTTTAAGGTCTCCACATAGGTCTAGGTGACCTGCAGCGTCCACGGGAGGAAGAGGGACCGACAGACACCAGATGCCCAGCTGTGGCCCGGTCCTGATTTTCCAGAAAGAACTCCCCCCCACCCCCCATCAGCCAGCTCGGTCTGGGCATCCAGACCCTGTTTATCCCTAGGATGGGTCAAGAATGCTAGGTATGGAGACTGTCCCATCTCTGGCCTGGCATGTGCGGGCTGCAGGAGCCCAGAACATCTGCACTCGACAGCCTCCTTCTCCCTCACCCAGCAGCCTCAGCTGAGAACAAAGGAGCATTTTGTGTCCCGCTCGCAGAGGGACGAACTGCACCGGAGGGGATGGGTGAGCACACGGGGGCTGAGGGAAGAGTGGACGTGCAGGCAAGGGGACGTCCGCGCGGAGTGCTGCTGTCACTGCGCAATGGCTTAAGGGCGGGGGGGGGGGGCAGGTGCAGCCTGACCCTTGTACCTGCTGGGAAAGAGGTAGGGGAAGGGGCAATTGCTGAGCGAGTTCCTGGGCCACAGTGTTATCAGTGTATGGGTGTTAGTGTGCACGTGTGTAAATGTGTCAGGGTGCCAGCCCATGCAAGCGCATCTGAACAGGTGTGCGCACATGTCTGTGCAAACGGGACGTGTGTGGGGGCTTGAATGCACGAGTATTTACTAGGAAGGACTGGGAGTGCGTGCATGAGGGAGGGGAGGGCTCCGAGAGCCCCAGCGACTTACCAGTGCGTGCCTTCCGAAGGGGCGTTCCTTCAATCAGGCCTTTCGGTCCCTCCCACTCCACTCTCTTGCTCCGGAGCTCCCCTCCCTCGCTTCCCAAGCACAGTTAGGGGCAGGACGAGGGGGACAAGGCCAACCTGAGAGTCAGGAAAAGGCGAGCCCAGGCACCGACGCCGCTCCCCGCGGTCCCTGCTGAGCCCTACTCCCGGCTACAGGTGTCTCTACGGGACTCCAGGCAGAGCGCAGCCGGCGGTCTTCCCGGAGGAGGTGCCCGGGGCCGGCAGCGGGCGGCGCGCATTCCTCAGCCCTGAGTCAGGCGGCCGCCCCTCGGCCGGGCCCGCCCCCGGCGCGCACGCCCCTCGGCCCGTGGCATTCCCAGGCGGACGGGCCGGGCCGGCGCGCGGGCGGCGCGGGCAGGGACC